CTTACAGTAGAGGGAAAGACAAGTGGCCAAGGGACTTCTCCAGGATAATTGCCAGAGCCTGGCTCAGCCCCTGTAATCATGTGTCACCTTCTGGTGTCATCACCCACCCCAGGATCCAGCCCCTGTCCAGCAGAGGAGCCTGTGGAAGTCATATGAGCTTAACAGAGTCAGCAGTGCTGCCCAAGGCTGGTCATCTGATTTCTCTCCCTTCCTGTTTCTGGGGTGAGGGGAGGTTGTCTGGGGTGGACAGTGCATCTCCAGATCTGCTCCACAGTGGTTCCCTCCCAGTTTGACCCCTGTGACTGTTTGCTCCCACCGTCTCTCCCTCGCCATCTCCAAGGAGGGGGCTTTTGATGTAGCCTGAAAACATGGGGGAAAATGAATTGGCTAAAATTCCTGCAATGAGGCAAAGCGTGGAGAAATCATGGCTTTTCCCTGACATGCCCTGGGCAAGGTGGTATCAGGGCTCGTGCAAGTGGAGGGAGAGCAGCCGCTCCTTCAGCTGTCACTGCCCATGGACTGTGGGGAGTCCTCAGCACCCCAATACTCCTGGTACCAGGCAGGAAGGAGGAATGCTGTGTATGTAGCATTCAGGACTTGAAGCACTGGCCTGGATTTAATTTCTGGGTTATTGACTGTTTCACCTCTAGTCCTTCAGCATTCTGTGGTACCCTGTTCCTGGTGGCAGCTCCCCAGAAATCACCTGCTTGATGAACCCATGGTTTGTGGTGTCCCTGCAGGTCTGGCCTGGTTTCACTGCCTTTGCAGACTTCTCCAACCCAGACACGCACCAGTGGTGGCTGGAGAACTTGCAGCACTTCCATGCCCATGTGCCCTTCGATGGCCTCTGGATCGTAAGTCCCTCCTTGCCCATGGGTTGCCTCCTGCCAGCACCTCAGCTCACACCCAGTGTGTGTGTCCTGGCATGACTGTCTGCAGCTTTTCCAGGTCTATCCATTAATCCCCAAAACCACATGCTTGAAATTGCTCCACAATTTTCTTTGCTTAGGACATGAATGAGCCATCCAACTTCATGGATGGGTCTGAAGACGGCTGCCCCCCAGGAGATCTCGACAGCCCACCCTACACTCCAGGTAAGGAGGGAGATGAGATACAAGACTGTGCTGACATGTACTGTGTGCTTTGAGACCTCTGACAACCGAGTGTGATGGGGGAAAACCGTTTCTAAGAGACATTCTGTCTGTTTTACACCCTGAATGTCTCCATCTCTACTTGCATGTGCCAGTACCGGTGTCTAAGCCTTACACACTTGTTGGGGCCATGTCAGGGTGCAGGATGGGACCATCTGTGTGAGCTTTTGGCACTGGGCTGGCAGTGACGGCTCCTGTGAGAGGGCTGTCCCAGAGCCAGCAAGTTGGGGGGGGTCCACATCCCCTCCACCCCACCGCCACCGGGTGCCAACCGGGCTCTCTCTGCTGGCAGCCGTGCTGGGCGATTCCCTCTCCTCCAAGACAGTGTGTGCCTCAGCAAAGCAGAAAGCCTCGGTGCACTACAACCTCCACAACCTCTACGGGCTGATGGAAGCCAAAGCCACAGCAAGGTACCTGAGCATCCCGCTTCCTGACAGCTTGGGGATGGGAATGGGACAAAATCCTGCTCAGATGGGGAAGGGGATTTGAGTGCCTGACTTCAAGGGGACATTGGCTGCTTGCAGCCTTCAGGGGGTGAATAACCCAGGAAAAGAGGGGAGCTGACACTGCTCTGGGAGGGATGGGTGGGTGAGGCTGGTCCTGGTGCCAAGCCTTTGCTGTACCACTCAGGCCAACTCTCCAGGCCTGCCACAGGGCTGGACCTCTCCCTCAACTGTTGTGGGATAAAGCAAACGCCTGGGGGGCTGCTCTCACCTCCTGCCCCTTCCTCTCCCTGTTGTTTTCCAGTGCCTTGATCCAGATCCGGGGGAAGCGTCCCTTCATCATCTCCCGCTCCACTTTCCCCAGCCAGGGCCGGTACTCAGGGCACTGGCTGGGAGACAACCGGAGCCAGTGGAAGGACATGTATTACTCCATCCCAGGTGGGTGGCACAGAACGCACACAGGTGCCCTACCAGTGCTCCACTGAGTTTTCTACTTGTTGGGAGACACCTCTGAAACTCCCTGCACCCTGCTGATTGTCCCTGCCCTCAGGGCTGCTGAGCTTCAGCCTCTTCGGCATCCCACTGGTGGGGGCGGACATCTGCGGCTTCTCGGGCAGCACCTCGGAGGAGCTCTGCACCCGCTGGATGCAGCTCGGTGCCTTCTACCCCTTCGCTCGCAACCACAACACCCAGAACGAGAAGGTCAAGGGCAGTGTGCCCGGTGGGAGGCATCCTAGGGGGTGGGATATGGGGTATGAGTTGTGGGATGGTGGATATGGGATGGGGGATGTGGGGAGTGGGAGGTGAGGTTGGGGTGGGATGGCTGCTGACTCCCTGCATCTCCCCCAGGCCCAGGACCCGACGGTGTTCAGCCCTGCGGCCAGGACGGCCATGAAGGACGTGCTGCTGACCCGATACTCCCTCCTGCCCTTCCTCTACACCCTTTTCCACCATGCCCACCTGCAAGGGGACACTGTCGCTCGGCCCTTGTTCTTTGAGTAAGACCATCCCCACCGGGAGCTGGGGAGATGCTTGGGCTGAATCACAGAGAAGTGGCCGATTGAGCAGCATCTCCATCCTGCTGCAGGTTCCCTCAGGATGTGGCCACCCTGGAGCTGGACAGGCAGTTCCTGTGGGGCCGGAGCCTGCTGGTGACGCCGGTGCTGGAGCCTGGGGTGGACTCGGTCACAGGCTACGTCCCCCGAGGCACGTGGTACGACTTCTACACGGTGAGGAACACCACGGCACTTGGCCAGGGACTGGGTGATCCCTGCTTGAGCATCTCAGGACTGTGGGTGGGAAACCATGGCTGAGCCCAGCAAGCCTGGGTGGGGGAAGCAGTGGGGATGGCTGCTCCCCAGCCCCATGCCTGACCCCCTGCTGTGCCCCTGATTCCCTCATACCTGTGTCTCTCACCACCTGCCCAGGGCTCCTCGGTGAACAGCAGTGGGGAGATGTTGAAGATGTCAGCCCCCCTGGAGCACCTCAACCTGCATGTCCGGGAGGGTTCCATCCTGCCCACTCAGGTAAGTGCCCACCCATCACTGCCCTGAGTGCTGTCCACAGCGTGTGTGGGTGTGTGTCCCAGCACCTCAGCTCCCAGACCCCCATCCCCAGTGCTCACAACCCTGCAGAACCCATGTCTTTGAACCCCAGAAACCAGGGACCACCAGCGAGGCGACTCGAGGGAACCCCCTGCGCCTCATCGTGGCCTTGTCCTCGAGTGCCACTGCCTGGGGGGACCTTTTCTGGGATGATGGCGAGAGCCTGGACACCTTCGAGCGGGGCAGCTACTCCTACCTGGTGTTCAATGTCACGCAGGTGGGATGTGGTGGGGAGGGCAGGAGTGGGGGGTCCCGTGGTATCTGGCCACCTTGAGCTCATGCTGTCCCCTCCCGCAGAACATCTTCACCTCCACCATCCTCCATGCCAGCACTGAGGCCACCAATGTCACCATTGGCACACTGAGCATCTTTGGGGTGCAGAAGCCACCCAGCAAGGTCCTTCTGAATGGCCAGGAGAAGCCCTTCTCCTACCTGGACAACCAGGTACAGTCCCACCTTGGGGTGCCCTGTCCTGGGTGGACATCTTGAGGGGCTCCACCCTGCCTCCTCTAGCCCCAAGGGTCACAAGACTGGTGACCAAAGAGGTGGGTGAGGACACTGTGTGGCTCTCCTGCCACACCAGGGTTCAGGAGCAATGAAGCTCAGCCAAGCTGGGTAGGGGAAGGCATTCTCCACTTCCCTCCAGCCAGGGCTGTACCCCAGAATGTCTCCTCTCCCCACACAGGTTCTCACTGTGAGTGACCTCAACATCAGCCTCAGCAAGGGCTTCTCCCTGCAGTGGCTGTGAGCAGAGGGCCGTGGGGTCACCCCTCCCTTGCCAAGACCACCCGTCCAGGAGATGCTTGATGGTCCAGCCCCTGAAGCTGGGATACTCCTTTGGAAGAGGTGTCAGGGACTGTGACCTGCTGCTGTGTGTCCCCCTCCAGCACAGCTGGGGACAGGGGCCGTGGGATGAGGGCTTGGCCACTGGGTGCCTCCGCATGGTCCCGGGTGGGTGGTGTGGGTGGAGGTGTGGGCACCCACGGTCCCCGCTGCAATAAAGGCACGTGGAGAACTTGTCATGGGCGCATGATGTGGGGACAGAAGGGGTGGCATAGGGGGAGAGAGGGTGGGCAGCCAGTTGCTGTGGAAACCCCAGTTTCTACTTCCCTGACCTCAGTTCTCCTGATTCCATCCCCCTGATTCCGGCTGTTCAATTTCATCCCCAATCCAACCCCCCTAATTGCAGCGCCACATCCCAGACCCCAGATTCAGCCCTTGACTCCAGCCCTGCACCCCACTCCTTTGACTCTCTGATCCCACACCCCACAGTCACAGCTTCACAGAATCAACAAGGTTCGAAAAGACCTCCGAGATCATCACGTCCAACCTGTGACCCATCACCACCTTGTCAACCAGACCACGGCACCAAGTGCCACGTCCAGTCGTGTTTCTTCGGTGACTCCACCACCTCCCTGGGCAGCCCATTCCAATGTCTAATCACCCTTTCTGTGAAGAAATTCCCCCAGATGTCCAACCTAAACCTCCCAGGCACAGCTTGAGGCTCTGTCCTAGCTGCCTGTGAGAGGGGGCCCACCCCAGCACCACCCAACAGCCCCTAATTTCAACCCCCAACTCCAGCGTCTCAGCCGAGCCCCTTGACTCCCCTCTCTTATCCCCAGACCCCCGCGATCAGCACCACCAAACAGTCCCAGCCCCTCTCTTCCCTCAGCACCCCCGACCGCCCCCAGACCCTCCCGCCGGGGTGCACTTCCCCCTCCGACCCGGCAGACGGCGCTGCCCGGCGGGGCGGGGCGGGGCGGGCGGTACCGTGAGGTGCTTCCCCTTCCGTGTGGCGGCGGTCGGTCTGTCCGTCTGTCCGTCTGTCGCTCGGGTGTCCGCCGCTCGGTCTGTGCCGGGGCCGGTGCCCTGCGGCGCCATGAACCGGCCGAAGGCGGCGGCCGTGCGGCGGCCCAGCGCCGTGCCCAAGCCCTCCGGTGAGTCCCGCGGGGCCGGGCGGGGGGGGCTGCACTCACTGTCACTGTCCCCTCACTGTCCCCTCACTGTCCCCGTGTCTCCCCTCGCAGCGCACCCGCCGCCCGGAGACTTCATCGCGCTGGGCTCCAAGGGGCAGAGCGGCGAGGGCAAGGCGGCCGTGGCGCTGCTGAAGCCGGCGCCGCCCGGGCTGCCCTCGGAGCGCAAGCGGGACGCGGCCGCCGCCCTGGCGGGCCCGGCGGGGCTGCCCGGGCTCACCAAGCGCCCCAAGCTCTCCTCCACGCCGCCCCTCAGCGCCCTGGGCCGCCTGGCAGAGGCGGCCGTGGCAGAGAAAAGAGCCATCTCGCCCTCCATCAAGGAGCCGTCTGTCATCCCCATCGAAGGTGAGGCCTGGCTGCGCTGCTGCCCTCGCAGGGAAGCCAGGGAGAAACTTCTGTTCTTCCTTCCCTGGAGCCTTTCTTGAAGCCCATAGTTCCTCTGCTGGATATAGGGCTGAAATCACACTTTTCTCCTCTGTATGCACTGGGTTTTGTTCATTGTGTCTGAGAGCTGTTTAATTGCAGCATCTGAAATACTCCCTGAGGAGATCTCTGAGTCTGGATTGTGGTATTTTGTTCACGTATTTCTTTAGCAGACTCTGGGTCTGAACGTTACCTTCTGAATTGTCATCCCATTTCTGGTGTTTGATACTTTTGAGGAGGAGTCTGCTAGCGTGGAACCACAGAACTTCTAGTGGCAGTTGAGTAGGAAAAAGCTGTGGCAGGGGCTGTAGGTGAGCTGGTCCACGCTTTGCTGTCCTGCAGCATCTCAGGGCAGGTTGTTTCACATGAGGGTAATGCTAATGTGTTGGTACTTGCAGTTGTCCCCACGGTGCTGCTGGATGAGATTGAGGCAGCAGAAGCAGAAGGCAATGATGACCGTATTGAGGGGGTGCTGTGTGGAGCTGTGAAGCAGCTGAAGATGAACAGAGCCAAACCTGACACCACACTGTACCTGAGCCTCATGTACCTGGCAAAAATAAAACCAAACATATTTGCCACCGAAGGGGTTATTGAGGTGAGGATTCATGAACTTACTGATCTATCACTGCTGCCAGCTTGTGAGCAGAGTTGCAGTTTCTCTCAGGCCAGAGCATGGCTTTGTAAATACGAGACCTCTGATGTCTTTTTAAATGCCAGAGCTCAGTGCAAGCTCCTGAAATTTCTGTTCCTCTTTCTACAGCTTCTCTGAATGCTTTCTTGCCAGATGTCTTGTTTATTTTATTTTTTGTGGATGATATTCCAGGCGCTGTGCAGCCTACTCCGAAGAGATGCCTCCATCAACTTCAAAGCCAAAGGGAATAGCCTCGTGTCAGTCTTGGCCTGCAACCTTCTCATGGCAGCTTATGAAGAGGATGAGAACTGGCCAGAGATCTTTGTCAAGGTTGTTGAACCAAGGAGGCTTCTGTGTGGTGGGCAGTCTGGGTGAAACCAGCTGGGGCTGGGAGTTGTGGGTGTGTTGGGGTAGGAGAACAGCAGTGGATTTATTCCTGCTGCAGGGAAGGGGATAGCCAGTGTGGGAATGCAGTTGAAGGAGGCAGAAATTGGAGACTGGCCCCGTGCTCTTGAAGAAAAATCTCCAAGGGTTGCTGGAATGCTGTGGCTTCTTTTGCCTTTTGTTACCTTATCTCTGCTCTTTTCTGAGGTGCCTTTGACAGTCTGTATTGATTGTTTTACTGTATTATAAGTGTTGCAGAGACTCTACTCTCTGTTTAGGCTGTAGGGGTTAAAATAGTCCATTAATTTAAAAGGGCTGAGCTGACCAGCTTCTATATTTTGATTGTAGAGGTTGTTGTAAAGTCTTTGCTAAAGCTGATCAGCTTTCTTGCTTGAGAGGGGTTGGTGCCCAGTAGAGCTTCAGATGTGATGTTTTGGTTTTTTGCTCTTATGTGACTTGCCTGCAGTCATCTGGTCTGTTTTTCATCAGTGGTCATGCTAGTTTCCCACTTTGCATTTGTGTATTGGAAATCCATAAAAACTCACAAATATTCCCTCAATTAATCAGTTAAAAAAGAAGCACGGACATGAATTGTGTTCCCTTCTGCAGGTGTACATTGAGGACTCCCTTGGGGAGCGCATCTGGGTGGACAGCCCTCACTGCAAGACATTTGTGGATAACATCCAAACAGCTTTTAACACAAAGATGCCTCCTAAGACCATGCTCTTGCATGGAGAAGTTGGGCGTAGCGGAGGGGACCTTAGTGCTGGTAAGAACATGTTTGGGAACCAGGAACAAAGGTTTAGGGAGAGGATGGAGCCTGCTGCACTTGGTGACTTGTGGGGAATAGTTTTTTATTGGATGGAGTAGACCAGACTTTGAGTTTCAGCCATTGCATTCCCTCTCTTTGGGGCTCTTTCATGTCTGGGGGATGTTTGAGGGTAGTGAAAAGTGGGCCTGTATGTGATGCAGTGTGAGGAAGTGACTGAGTGTGGCCTCCTTCAGTGTGATTGATCTCCAGAAAGGGGAATTGTCTCATGAAGTGTGCTGTGTCCTGGTCTCTCTCAGGGAGCAGCCCACACCCTTCCATGACAGAGGAGGAAGACAGCCAGAGTGAGCTGCTGATTGCAGAGGAGAAAATGAGCCCAGAGCAGGCGGGCCAGCTCATGCCCAGGTACAGTGCCTCGTCCTCTCCTGGCCCAGCCATGTGGCAGATGTGTCTGCGCTCACCCACCCTGCAGAGCTGTGGCAGGGAGCTCCCTCTCTGCACTACCTGTCCTGTGGCACCTGCTGGGGGATGTTGAGCGTCAGATAAAAATGTTCCAGGAGAAAAGAGTAGATTTTATTTCTTCATAATGTATACCACAAGAAAGAAGGCTGATCTTTGCGCTGGCTTGTGTGGAAATGAGTAAAGTGCAGTTTGTGTGGTCCAGGTATGAAGACCTCGCAGAGAGTGTGGAGGAATATGTCCTAGACATGCTGCGGGACCAGCTCAACCGGCGCCAGCCCATGGACAATGTCTCCAGGAACCTCCTTCGGCTGCTGACAGCAACCTGTGGCTACAAAGAGGTCCGTCAGATGGCTGTGCAGAGGCTGGAGATGTGGCTGCAGAACCCAAAGGTAAGGATAGGAGCTGTTGAAGCACAACTCTGGTGTGGAATCCAGGCAGGAGGGCTGCATACCGTACCCCACTTACGTTTCTGATCTGTAATGGCAAGTGACTGGAGCCTTTCTGCTCTTCCTCTGCAGCTGACCAAGCCAGCTCAGGACTTGCTGATGTCAGTCTGTATGAACTGCAACACCCACAGCTCCGAGGACATGGAAGTTATCTCCAACCTGATCAAGATTCGTCTCAAGCCAAAAGTCCTTCTCAACCACTACATGCTGTGTGTCAGGTGAGTGACTGATCACAGACGATCAGAAGAGAAAGCACTGTGGAAGATGTGTCCAGGGGCCTGACTGGTTTTAAATACCAGCTTGGACTAAGGGGTGTCCTGTGTTCATTTATATGAATTTCATTGTCCTGGAAGTCTTTCAATAGTCCTTTGATATTGTTGGACATATGTGCTGTTCCATCCTCTTCACTTTTGTATACTAAACAGTTCAATGTGTCCACCTACAATGAAATATCAGTTCAGGTATCTCTGGCCTTCCCTTGCAGAGAACTGCTGAATGCACACAGGGATAACCTGGGCACCACCATTAAGTTTGTGATTTTCAATGAACTATCAAATGCAAGAAATCCCAACAACATGCAGATCCTGTATACTGTGCTTCAGCACAGCTCAGAGCAAGCTCCAAAGGTAGGTGCAGTGTCTTGTGTGACTGACGGTGGCCCCAGAACCCGCCTTGACAGATTTAGTTGAGTTGAGGCTCAAATGAATATTTTCACAGACAACTGTCTGATCTGTACCATACTATTATATTATTATTACTTTTGGTAGGAATAAACATACGTGGGCATTTTCTAACTCCCACATTCTGGGTGACCAATCTTTTGGTAGTGCAGTTTCACAAGAGAAACGTTATTACAGTTTGGAGGACAGGACACCACCATTGTGGTTTCCTTGTGTCTTTTCATTTTGTCGATGCAGATTCACTGCAGTGCACTGAAGGTTCTCTCTTTCTGTGTGTCCCCAGTACCTGGCAATGGTGTTCCAGGACCTCTTGACCACCAAGGACGATTATCTGCGGGCCTCGCGGGCCCTGCTGCGAGAGATCATCAAACAGACAAAACATGAGATCAACTTCCAGGCCTTCTGTCTGGGTCTGATGCAGGAACGCAAGGAGGCCCTGTACACAGAAATGGAATTCAAGGTACCACTTTTTGACTCTTGTGCTTCTGGATGTGCCAGTGATGTATTGGGCTGTTCTTTTATCTGCTTTTCTGACCGTTCTTTCTTTTGCTCTTTGGTATCTGAGTGAGTCACTATTTGTGTGTCTCATAGCAGCACTCCCATATTTCATTTCCAAACATCCATGATCATCATGTTTTATGACAAAACACTTCCAGAAGGCAGCTTTGGGTATTACTGATTAAACTCACTTTTCTTTTTCTATTTTAAGGAGCGTTTTGTCATCCACATAACTGATCTGCTTGCTGTCTCCATGATGCTTGGTATCACAGCCCAGGTGAAGGAGGCTGGAATTGCTTGGGATAAAGGAGAGAAAAAGAGTAAGCAGAAGAACCTAGATTCCCTCTGAAGATGGGCAGTTATCTGCCTCTGATGTTGGGGGAACATTGCAGCTGGGGCTGGGAAGGGATGTAAGCCTCCATTCTGGATAGAGACGTGGGGGAGCCTGCTATCATCCTGAGACTGACAGAGATAGGAGATGTGGCATTTGTATGGTTGGGTGTTTATTGTATCTATGGAAGCAGTCGTTGAGAGGCTGGGGAAAGGGAGCTCTGTATGGGGGAGCCTTAAGGGGCCCCCCCTCGAAGGGGCAGCTGTAAGGATTACCAAGTACCTGGGCATTGAGAGCACAGGCCTTTGGGATGGCACTGAAGTGACTGCCCAGATGCCTTTTCCTCACAAAGCTAATTCACCTGTGCTACTTGTTGGGGGTTTTGCTGCAGCATGTTTCAGAAAGCAAAATGCATGTTCTGTCAGTGCTGGGGTGCTGAAGGCTCTCTGATATAATACTCCCCTTCTCTAGTGGAAGGTATCCCTGCCTGTGTTGCAGGGATTGAAATGAGATGATCTTTAAGGTTCCTTCCAACCCAAACCATTCTGTGATTCTGTGATGCCTCAGAGCCCTGGTACCTGCCTGCTCTTGAAACTGCCACTCTCCTGCTTGGCTCCTGATGGGGCTCTTGGTACATGTGCACTTTGTGACCTGACTGTTTTTCAGACCTGGAGGTGCTGCGCTCTTTCCAAAACCAAATTGCTGCTATCCAACGTGATGCTGTCTGGTGGCTTCATACAGTTGTTCCATCCATCAGCAAGCTGGCTCCAAAGGACTATGTGCACTGGTGAGAGTCAGCCTGGTCATCTCTGTCCCTTCCCCAACAGTGTGATATATTAGGAAAAACCAGGCACATGGCAGGCCTTGGTTAGATTTCTCTGCCCTTATCAGACAGGTAGCAGAAACAGTTCTAGCAGGGTGAGACTCTCTCCCTCTCTGAAATTCCTTCAGATGCATCCTCTTACCAGAAATACATGACAATGGAAAATCTTTCCGATTTGTATTATTTGTGTCCACTCAATAGGAGATTTCCAATTATCTGACCAAACACAATCCCTGTGGACACGTTGTTGGTTTTTTTTGCCTGATATCCTTTTTTAGACTGTAGGGTTGAGGGCTCCACAGATAATTCTGTCTTCCCTGCCTCCATCTTGGACAGGTGGTATCCTGGAGGCTTGGTTCAAGACATTACTGAGGCAGGTTAAGCCAGAATTAAAAGTCAGAAGGATATGTTACTGAAGGTATAAAAGCCCAGGGCCCATACTGTATAGTCCTCTCTGTTCTGATTCATGTTGTTACCTTTGCTAGACTTGCTTATCTGAGGAGCTCCTTCATGTCTAGGGTGGGAATATTAGCAGGAGTCTGGGGAGACAGAGCTGTTGTATGTATTCCTGAGCCTCACTTAAATGGTATTTACTGTCCTTCTCATTTCTACAGCCTGCACAAGGTGCTCTTCACAGAACAGCCAGAAACCTACTACAAATGGGACAACTGGCCCCCTGAGAGTGACCGCAAGTGAGTAGCGGGTGCAGGCGGGGAGCTGCTCTAGCTGGAGGAAAAGGAATGGGTGTTTTCTGATGATCCTTATATATAGCTCTGTGTTGGAAAGGCGTGGAACTGTGCTTAGATTTTCTTCATCTGTCACATTGCTGTGAAATTGAGGGGTGTTGTTCCATTCTCCATCTGTTCTTCTTCCTCCTTCATTCCTGTTCCCTGTGCCAAGCTGTTCCATATCTTGATGCTGTAGTTGTAAGGAGGACAGCCCTGCACTGTGTGGGTTACTGGGGTAACATTAGGGAGCTCAGACTCGAGCAAGCTGAAGTGTGGAGGTACAAGGCAATGCAACAGATATTCCAATAATAATTTGTTTCACATAGTTGCATTTGGAGCTGGAGATCGGGGAAGGTATTGTAAACTAAGCTGAGATGTGTCTTGTGCTCAGACAGGTTCTAGGGTTTGTGAAGGGTTCAGGAGCCCTCACACTACTGTCTAGAGAAGTGTGACTGATGTCTCGTGTCTCCTGCAGCTTCTTCCTTCGCCTGTGCTCCGAGGTGCCCATCCTGGAGGACACCCTGATGCGGATCCTGGTGATCGGTTTGTCGCGGGACCTGCCCCTGGGCCCCGCGGATGCCATGGAGCTCGCTGACCACTTGGTGAAGAGGGCTGCAGCTGTGCAGGCAGATGGTGAGGCTGCACAAAGCTCCAACCAGCAAGTGGTTCCTTCTCTATCCGTGCCCTCTTATTGCCACCCAGGGCTGAGACAGCTCCTACCGCCTACAAGAGCCTTTGCGTCACCTAAAGCATATTTTAGTCATGATGGCCAAGCATTTGGCTCAAAGCCAGACATGTACTGCTGTTGCTTTCTCACTAGAGAAGCTTCTTATTTTCTCTTACTGTTTCTCACTGTTACTAATTTTGTATCATGGAGTGTTTGGGAAATTATTGGTTGTGTTGAGGATGAAGGGCTGTGAACAACCACCCAGAGTTTTGAGTCAGCGTTTTTAAATTCAATTTAGTCCTTCATACGTACTGTAAAATGAAATTTTAAGGCTATGCAAAAATGGAATGGTTGGACGTCAAACTAATTAACCAATATATTGTGTGCCCTTCCCAAGTCCATAATTCAAACACTTACAGAATAGCAGTTACAAAAGCAGTCTTTACTCTTACCCTTTAATGAATTCATTTAGCATTTGTCTAAATTCCTGCATTGCTGGGTAATATGTCCATTTAGCTGAGCTGTGCATGTTTGTGGTAGAGTTGAGGGGAAATGTTGCACCATTTCAAATGCTGGAAGACTCAGAGTTAAGTTAAAGTGAGTCTGAAAACTTGCAACAAAGTTGAAATGCATTTTTAGTTCCTCTGAGCCCCAGAAGTTCTGAGTGGATTTGCTCCTCACCTGAAGGAGAGTATCCGAGTTCTGAAAAAGTTCCAAGTATCATATTGGATACATTTGGGAAAAAAACTACCCTAAAGAATTTAAACCAAATTGAGGCTGAAAAGCTTGATATCCTTATATATTGACTTGGAGCTTTTTTTAAGTGTTGTTGCTCTTTAAATGTTGTTGTTTTTGTGCTTCTGTAATATCATGAGCAAGCCAACAATAATATAGTTGCTTGAAGTAAAATTTTTCTTATACTGTGATGCTTTTCTTGAAGGACTTTCAGGTAAGTAGACAGGTCAATAACTTGTTCAGTCTTCTCCTCCAGATGTCGAGGTCCTGAGGGTAGAAAGAATCCAGCTGATCGATGCAGTCTTAAATCTGTGCACTTATCACCATCCAGAGAATATCCAGCTACCCCCAGGGTAAGACATCACACAGATAATCTCACTGTGATCTGGATCATTTTCACCTTGACTAATGCTCCCTGCTTGTAGATTTTAAGATGCTTTTCTCTACTACAGTTTGTAATAACAAAATGATGAGACTTTTTTCAGGGTCATGTTCAGGTGGAAATTTCTCTAGAGCAATCAAGACCTGAGTTACAGAATGAACTTTGCTCTGCAAGCACTTTGACCTTTCTGCTCTAGAAATCTTCAGCTGAACCTTGCTACCCTTCCTGAGGGGTCTTTTTTTGGTGTTTGTTTTTGGAGAGAACAACTGAACTGACTGAATCTAAACAGTGCATGATTAAGGAGAAAAGCAGACTTGAGATGGGCTTAAGGAACCAAATTTGACCACTTCTATCTATTGATGGCTTTTGCAGGTACCAGCCTCCAAATCTAGCTATTTCTACTCTCTACTGGAAAGCTTGGCCTCTCCTGCTTGTAGTGGCTGCATTCAATCCTGAAAACATTGGTAAGTGTGGACATTTCTCAGGATATATACAGTTCTGCTGCAAAACTTGGCCAAGGTGCTCTCTGCTGGAGTCCAGTTGCTTGTGTGCAAGGCCTGTGGTGGGTTGGTGAGGTAACTGCAGTTAAATAACTGTGTATTACCTGTGGGTGCAAAAATACACAGAAGTGGGATTTGGACTAGCATGTGGCTGGAGTCATCTTATTTGTGTTCTAAATGTTATGAGCTGTTCTCAAGTGAGTTTGTGTCTCCCCCACTTGGGATGCATTAAAGTATATGTAAAGGCCCTGATTTTTTCCTGTATTCCTGATCATCCTTCTCTTCTCTGCTGCAGGTCTGGCTGCATGGGAGGAGTACCCCTCTCTGAAGATGCTCATGGAAATGGTCATGACCAAGTTAGTATGGTTAAATCCCTATGTGAATCAAATAGACCATTGAAAACACATATTTCTGATTTACGTTTGTGCCATGTGGCTCCTTCCTTTCCTGTGGGACTAGTGTAAAATAAACTGTCTTAATAAGCTTAAAATAAGCAGCAACACTGCAGTTGGAGTGGGAAAAGTCCCTTCTCTCAACAGAAATATTATAAGTAAGGGAATAAAACTGAGAAAAATGGGGGTTTGGCTGTGATGTGCCTTGCTGAAAAGGTCTCAGTCTCCTGGCTTTGTTGGGAAACTGCCTTGTTTTTTCTATGTTGTCTGTCAGAGCCAAGGTCCTGGGTTCCTTCTGACTGTGGTTCATGAATTTTGCATAGAGCAAGATAACTATTTCCTTTTTTTAACTTATTTTCTCAGTAATTATTCCTATCCTCAATGTACCTTGACGGATGAGGAGACGCGCACAGAGATGATTAATCGTGAACTTCAAATCTCCCAGAGAGAAAAACAGGAGATTCTTGCATTTGAGGGCCATCTGGCTGCTGCATCCACAAAACAAACAATTACAGAGAGCAGCAGCCTCTTGCTGTCCCAGCTGACAAGTCTGGACCCTCAGTAAGTAACCACCTGCATTCTGATGCCATCACAAAATTCTAGTTAGCACTAGTCAGGAAACCCTACTGCTCTACAGAGTGGTTGATGTGGGCAAGAAGAACCCTGAGGTTTGGTAGCCCATGGGATCATAAAATCACAGAATGATTTGTGTTGGAAAGGACCTTAAAGATTGTCAAGTTCCAATCCCCCTGCCATGGGCAGGGACACCTTCCACTAGACCAGGTTTCTCGGGGCCCTGTCCGACCTGGCATTGCACACATTGATATGTGTCACACTTGGTTCTTGTCCTTCTCTTGCTACCTGCATGTGCCCCTCCTGCATTTCTGATCTGACTGATCCTCATCACACCAGAGTGAAAGTCTGTCAGCCTGTGGATAACTTCTTGTTTCTCTGGCAGGGGCCCCCTCGCAGACCTCCACCCCATGTCCTGGAGCAGGTGAAAAGCCTGAACCAGTCACTTCGCCTGGGCCACCTTCTCTGTCGCAGTCGTCATCCTGACTTTCTCCTCAACATCATTCAAAGACAGGTGGGCTGTGCTGGGATCTGATCCCTTGCCTCTGAAACCTGAGTGAGGGGCGAAAGAGAGCTGAGTGAGATGCGGGGGAAGGTGATATATTGCTCAGGAATTAAATGATCAGTGTGATGCATCCACGTTCTGATACTGTTTCTCTTCTCCTCCCTAGGCCTCCTCACAGTCAATGCCATGGCTGGCAGATCTGGTTCAGTCCAGCGAGGGCTCCTTGGACGTCCTACCCGTGCAGTGCCTTTGTGAGTTCCTGCTTCATGATGCTGCTGATGAATCGACCTCAGGTGAAGAAGAAGAGGAGGGTGAGAGTAAGGACCAGCGTGCCAAGAAACGCCAGGTGAGTAGTCTCTTGGGAACCCCTTCTTGTTACCTACTTTCTGCCCATCCCAGATTTGATTTCACTGAACAGGCCAACTGCTTTCTCCGCAGAGACAACAGAAACAAAGGCAGTTGCTTGGACGCTTGCAAGACTTGCTGTTGGGTCCCAAAGCAGATGAACAGACAACCTGCGAGGTGCTTGACTACTTCCTGCGACGCCTGAGTTCCTCCCAGGTGGCCTCACGGGTCCTGGCCATGAAGGTGAGCAGAATGAAAGTCTTCTTGACTGGGGTGTGTCAGAAGCCAAGGGCAGAGTCCTGGATTATCCTGAGTCCAGAGCCAGCAAACTGAAATTGTTTCATGTCATCCTTCTTCTGTGCCTTGTCTCAATCTCCAAACCCCATGCACTTCTGCTCCCTGCTGCTCACAAGTTTTTGTTCAACAGCCAAATTGTACTTTTTCTCAAGATAGAGGTGGATTTTGCTATATTTCCTGTGAAGTTCAGGTGTAGACTCAGCAGACTGTGTGCTACAGGGAGTAATTGGCAGAAGCTGCTGTCTGTGGGGAGTGTAAATGAGTGAGTGTCTGGTGCTCTAGAGCATAGTCAAGACAAAGAGAATTGCACGGAGCTCAGAAAGGTTGTGCTCAGAGAAGACTGAAACTTCAAGCAGGGTATCTGTCAAGAAAACACATTATATGAGAGATGAAATCTGTTGTGTGATACATTTGGATCATTCCATGGTGTTTGAAGCTTGTTTCTGTTATATTCACTAGTATGAAACCAGCAGTCCAGCTGTGGCTTCAAATGCAACAGCTGTGTCTGTGTGACCTCTGCAGGGCCTGTCCTTGGTGCTGTCAGAAGGAGGAATGCGTGATGGAGAGGAGAAAGATCACCCCATGGAGGAAGACTCCGGTGATTCCGAGCTGCTGCAGGGATATCAGTGGCTGCTGAGAGACCTCCCGAGGCTGCCACTGTTCGACAGTGTGAGAGCAACAACAGCTCTGGCCTTGCAGCAGGTGGGCATTGGCAGCTGAAGGCGTGAATGTCCAGCTTATTCTTTTTCTACTCATGCTAAAACAAATCTGAACAAACCATCTGGGTGTGACATCAATGTGTTTATGTGCTTGCAGAAGAATGTTTCCTGTGCTGGTGCTTGTTTTCACTAAATCTGGATTTCTGATGAAAGGAAATCTTATTCTAGGCCATCCACATGGAGACAGATCCCCAGACCATCAGTGCATACCTGGTGTACCTCTCCCAGCATGCCCCAGTGGAGGAGCAGGGACAGCACAACGACCTTGCTCTGGTGAGAGGACGGATTGTGTAGGGGGCACGTGGCTTGTCCCAGGACAGTGGTAGGCATGGGACTTGCTGTACCAGCAGGATGAGTTTTTTGGGAGCATGTGACTGATAACTGCATGTTTGTGTCTCTGTGTATGTGTTGAAAGGCATCCTGTGTCTTTGGTTCATATCATGACATGGTATCAGAGCACTAATCTCCAATCCAGCAGCCCAGGAGGTGGAATGGGGAATGCAAGGGTGGATAGTGGTTTGAAGGAAATCCCACTACCTGGCAATGTTTCATAAGTAAGCAGGTGCTAAACCTGCAGTCACATGTATCTGGGGAGAGAATGGGAAGTCAGGAATGTTAGTGGTGGGACATGCACTCTCCTGTAACCAAAGCTAGATTTCTGGGTTTGTTTTTTAATTTTTTTTTAAAAGCTTTTGGTAGGTTTGAGTTGTTTTTTTCCAGCAGTGATTTTTCTTTCATTGTTCTGTCTCTGGGTGCTTTTTTTCATTGCTTTTAAGGCTCGTGTGCTGATACTGCCTCCATAGATCTGTTTAGGCACGTGGAGAAGGTTAAACAATAAGAGTCAGTAGATCTTTTTCTTCAGATAAATGCGTATTTTTACTATGTAAATGCTTACTTTGTAATGGGATGCAGCTGTTGATCTCCAGAGTGGTGTTAACTGGGCTGGTGGTGGAACCTGGAGGATGTGATGCAACAAAACAGGAGTAAAGACCTCGTGGGTCTTCTTCCCTTGCAGGATGTAGCCCGGCTGATAGTGGAGCGCTCTACCATCATGTCCCACCTCTTCTCCAAGCTCTCCTACAGTGCTGAATCAGATGCAGTGCTCGTGGCTCTTCTCTCCATCTTCTCTCGCTACATCAAGCGCATGCGGCAGAGCAAGGAGGGCGAGGAGGTGTACAGCTGGGTGAGTGCCCCCTGCCCCTCTTAAGCAGGTAACAGAAACTGGACATGTTAACAAAGGAGAAGCCCTTCATGGGTTACTGACTATGTATAAACCAGGTTTGGTTCAAGAATTCCCTGATCTGAAAATAATTGGATGGTGGCATAATTATCAGAACCAAGTGTATAAGTTTGTAAAAAGCTTTTTTAACTTTTCCTCAAGAATCTTTTATGGCCAGTGTTGAACATATTTGGAACTTTGATATGACTAAATTTGTCCATTCTTATGTTCTCCTTTCATCTGTAGCTCAAAGATTTCATTCTTCTTTCTCTCCCCACCTGTGCTCATCCTGGTTTTTTCTGCCTTTTTCCAGTCAGAGTCCCAGGATCAGGTGTTCCTTCGTTGGACTAGTGGGGAAACAGCCACCATGCACATCCTTGTGGTTCATGCCATGGTTATTCTCCTGACACTGGGGCCACCTCAAGGTTAGTGAAGTATATGCTCAGATTTTTTCAGGGGCTTATGGGCAATATGGAGAGCCTTTTCTTTGTCTGCCATCTCCTAACAGGTCAGACTGATGTTAATCCTTCTACTCACAGGCTTGTCCCTTGCAGTACTTGTTTGCAGCTGTAAGATTTATCAGAATATTGCTGCAGAGAGTGAAGGATTTGCAGACTGATTTTTTTTTTTACCTTCTGCAGACAGCAGGAAATATTAAAGCGATGGCGTGTTCTGGTGTATTGATTTGCTAGAGAAGGGCAGGGTGGTCTAGGGTGGTTTGTGAACATGGGAAATAATTTTGAATCCACTCTTAAGCAGGGGATGGTGATTTTTATACCTTACTGGATATATGGTTCCCGGAGAAAAAGCCCCTTCCTACTGCTTTCCTGGTTGACACCTCAGAGGAGGCTCTGCTGCTCCCTGACTGGCTGAAGCTGCGCATGATCCGCTCTGAGGTCCCGCGGCTTGTGGATGCAGGTGAGCCTGTGGCCTGTTTGTTGTTGTTTCAGACCCTCCTCAAAGGAAAGGGAGAGTGCCCAAGTGTGCCCAGCCCATCCTACATGGATGCCTTTCGGTGGGGCCATCAGTGACTGTTACTTTTAGAGTAGGGGAGCGAGTCTATATGGATATTGTGCTTTCTGTGTATTTTACAGGAAATGGGGGATTCTGAATTGGGGCCCCATCTCTTTTACAGCAATTCAGATGGAACTAAGCTATGCAGTCACCAGACAGTAGGCATAGCATTGCTTCCATGGGGCATGCAGTGCTTGCAGTGTGGAAATCCATGTCTAAAGAATATAAGGTAGATCTGTAGTTGCTTTGGTCCTTGCACTGCTCATCTGTGCTCTCTTCTTGGTATTCAGAGCTTTTGTCCCATTTTACTAATTAAATGACAGCTGTCTATAGGCAGTGATTGAATTATTCAGTAATTCCTGCCTGCAGCCATCAACAGAAAGGGTGGAAGTTATTTTTTAATACAAATGATTGCATTACTGAGGTTCTAATAAAATTAAACAAAAGATCAGATTAGCCAGTGAGTGAATTAACTGGAAGATGCAATAAGGTGGCAATGATTTGCAGAGGGAAGAAAACATAGTAGGCAGCTGTCTGACTTCTAGCTTTAGGCTCTCTGCATCCCTGTCATTAATGTGTCACTGCTAGTCCAGCCAGAAGCACAAAGATCAGGTAATAAAGATGACTCTCCATGGGCAGTTTGGAGGTCTGAGGACTCAGTGTTGGTGTATTTCAGCCCTGCAGGACCTGGAGCCACAGCAGCTGCTTCTCTTTGTTCAGTCCTTTGGAATCCCAGTTTCCAGCATGAGCAAACTTCTGCAGTACCTGGATCAGGCAGTTTCTCATGACCCACAGACGCTGGAGCAGAACATCATGGACAAGAGTAAGAGCTTCAGATGAGGCTGACTAGGCATTTTACTTTTTCTTGAGCAGTTTCCATGAGTATCTCCTGTGACTACCTTGGAAAAATTCAAGCTAGTTCAGCAAACTCTGTGCACAGGCTGCTTTGGCAGCTTGTCACTGTAGACAGCTCCCTAGTGCTTGTCTGAATGGCCTTTGGCTGCATTTCCTCAAATAGAGAAGGGTTTTTTAGATTGAAGTGTACAGAGTCTAAAAAGTACTTCCAAAGTACTTTGGAAGGTACTTTGTAAAAGAAACAAAGTTTTCAAGGCATCATGTGTAAAAAGTCCATAGGAAGAGTGGATTCTCTTATCTGTGGGAGCTGTACAAGCAACCAATTCTGTCTTTCTTTACTAAAGAAGGTGAGATGATGATGTGTTCTTTCTTTTTTTTTTTGTTTCAGACTACATGGCTCATCTTGTGGAGGTTCAACATGAGAGGGGGGCAACAGGAGGCCAGACTTTCCATTCCCTGCTCACTGCCTCCTTACCAGCCCGCCGAGGTACTGCCTAAATTTCTAAGTCATCTTCCAGACTTCCCTCCTTCTTTAGTGTTGAGAGGGACAGGGGGAGCTGTCTTCAAAAATGGTTGTGCTGCAATATACCAGCAAGCTACAGTTAGACACCAGGCCTTGCTAGAGTTTTTTGCTTCTGGCAAAGGGAGAAATTCCAATATTTTTGGAGTTTACTGCAATGAGTTTTTCTGAGTGATATGGAAAAATAAATAGGTCTTGCTTGGACTCAAGAGAATAGCTGCTGAATTCCTCAGTAGATGGAGACTGTAAAGCTGAAGGTGATCCAGTGTTGGGGCTCCAGGTGCTAGCTACCATAAAAGCATTCTCCTTTCTTTCCTTTTATTTCTCTTGCAGACAGTGCTGAGACTGCAAGGTCAAAATCTAGTCCTGAGAACTCTCAAAGTCAGAGCCGGATCCGGGCCTTGAGCCAGGTCCGTGTTCTGGGCCCAGAAGATGATCTGGCAGGCATCTTTCTGCAGGTACTGTCATAAACTCCAGCTGATTAGCTGCTTCCCTGCAGCAGCTTTACAAAACCCATTTCTCTTATACTTACATCTTGTGACCCCTCCCTCCTGCGGTGTTTGCAGGCCATAAGTGTGAAAGCCCTGATGCAATGAGGCTGTGCCATTACAGCCTAATGGAATTGATACTGGCAGGATTATTTTGTTGTAGTTGGAACATGATGTGGCTTTTGATAGTGCCTGGTACTGTCAGTGCCTACTAGCATGTTACTGTCTCTGCACCTTGTTTGTTCTGTGTATAGTGCCTTTCCTCTCAGCAGTGGAAGGAGGATTTGTGAAATGCTCACAGGGCCTTGGCAGCAAAGCTGTGTGCAAACAGCATTTGTGCTCTGGCATGTCTGCTTACAGAGCCTCCCTCTCTCCACTGACTCCAGAAGGAGCCTACAGGGAATTAATTGGCCAAGTTGGTTGTCTGTGTTTGGGTAGTATGGTTCCCCTGCAGTGTTAGTGTTGATAGTCATGTTGGGGCTGCAGAGATGCTGCTTATGTTCATGTACCAGGCATTAAAATACTGAAAAAGCTGTATCAGAAGGTTTCCATTAACCCACAGTCACTATAACTGTACAAGGTAAATCAGTCCTCTGCCTCAGGATGTTCATAGTACAGCAAGTCCTTTCATTTGCTGTCATAAATTTACTCCCTTTTGTATCCCACCAGCTTTTCCCACTAAACCCAGACCCACGGTGGCAGAATTCAAACCTGCACCCGCTGGCCCTGGCGTTGCAGCAGGCCATGGGGCAGGAGCTGGCTCAGATCCGCCAGGGGAACACGCAGGTGCCCGGGATCATGGCACGACTGCTGCAGGCGGTGGCTGCGCTGCTGAACTCCCCCCACAGCGGTGCCCTGGTCATGGCCATGCACCGCCAACACTTCATCTCCTGCCCGCTGATGCGGCAGCTCTACCAGTACCAGGTCAGTGATCTTGGAAGTGTTGAATAGAGAGGGGTGAGGGAGAAACAGGAAACCTGAAGTGCATCTGCTCTGCTGTGTGCAGACCCTCTCTCTACCTGTGTCATGCTCAGCATGACACACAGGGGCTCGGGTTGCCTGGCCATAGGCATCTGGATGCAGGCTGGCAGGTGTAGGTGTGCTCTGTGTATTCTTGGCAGTGTGTATCACTGTCTGCATCTTTCCTGATATCTTTGTTGTATTACTGATGCGTGTATAAGCAAGTCTCTTTTGCTGCACTCCCCAGCGCTGCATGCCACAGGACACTGCCTTCTCCTCGCTCTTCTTCAAAGTACTCATGCAGATGCTGCAGTGGTTGGAGAACCCCGCAGTGGAAGAGGGTCCCCTGCGTGCTCAGCTGAAGGCCTTTGCTGTGCAGTACTCCTCCAGGCACAGGATCAATGATGGTACTGGCATTGGGCAGCTTATGGAACTCAGAGGGGACAAAGTGGGCCAAGAAGAGGACAGAAACAAAACTGCACCCAGAGCAGAAGGTGTGGTGGGCAGCCTTTTAGAGGTGTCCTAAGGAATAGCAAAAATAGTATCCTGTGCTATGGAAACTCCATGAGGATGAGAACAAGTGACTTAGCTCTGGGGTTTGCAGCAGACACGTGGTAGCATCACACCAAGTATGGCAGATCTCTCAGGAAAAACTTCCAGTTTCTCAGGCCAGGAGTTCTGTGTGAGCTGTAGTCCTTGTAGATGAGCATGAAGGAATGTCTCTGGAACAAGGTCACATCATGACTTGTAGAGTTGTTTATCGTCTGCCATCTGCTGAAGGGAGAGTCTGTAACCCAGAGGTTAGACCTGGAAATGGGTTTGTGGTTACAGAGCTTTCTCTCAGCCACATGTTCCTGTAACGTGCAGAAGAGCTGCCAAGGGTTTTGGTGGGAGTAAATAGCAGCAGAGTCCAGTGTGTTTCTATGTTTGAGCAGTTGTGTGCTGGAGCCACATGGGGCATCTGTAGAAGAGAAGTCTGATGGGGGGACTGGCTTGTCCCTGTGATGCCAATGCTGTGATTTCTTTGCAGTTCGAGGTGGCTTCTTGCACCTCACAGAAGCTCTGACTTTCCGTCATGACGCTGACCTGATCAGCTCCACGGTACGTGCCATCATTGCCACCCTGAAATCAGGAGAGAAGTGCAATGCGGAGCCAGAGCTCATCAGCAAAGGTATGGATGTCCTTCTGCTCTTCTTCCCCCTTGCAACAGCTGGCTGAACTCCCAGACCAGCAAGGGAGTGCCTACTGTGGGAATATGCCTCTCCCTGAATCAGAAAATGTGAACTGATGTAAGCTTGGAACTGTGTTGTATCACCACCTCCTCCCCCTGCACTGTATGTGGGTTTATAAACTGTGATCTGGGGCTGGTCTCTCAGCATACTGTTGGTTTCCACTAACAAAGAGAGTAATGGAAGCCTCATATCCCAGCTAAAAATGGCTTCCCTCTTGCTCACTGAGCCGTGCTATCAGCAGTAATACTTATAAGGTTCTGTACCTCTCACCACATCCTGAAGTTGATGAGTGAATCTTTCTCCCTCTGCTAGTCCTTCAAGGTCTGATTGAAACTCACTCTCCATACCTGGAGGAACTCCTGACTGTCCTCTTCTCAGCTACTGTTGAGACCACTGCCAGGTGTCCTGCCATGAAACCGATTGCTGTGGTGAGCTCCTTGTTGCTCCAGGACAAAGAAGAAACACCAGTGAAGAAGGAAGTGGACAGTTGCAGGTGAGCCTAGGGAATGGTGGGAATTCACTGGTAAGTCTGGGTTCCTGATACCACCAGTGACACTGGCTTTGTTTTCTCCACAGTGCTGAATCAGCTTGGCCAGGACCTGCCTCTGGCCTTCTCAATGACTGGCTGGAGATGTTAGACCCAGAGGTGATCAGCAGCTGCCCTGATCTCCAGCAGAAGCTACTGTTCTCCTGGAACAAAGTAAGAGTTGTTGGGTAGAGGGACTGCTGTGCTTGAAACCACCTTTCAGGGGTACTGACCTGTACCTGGAAATGGGGCAAGGGGTAGTTTTATGTTTTGCCACATGTTACTGTATGAGTTCCAAACCAGTACAGGCTGATTAGGAGAGGAGCTCTGGCGCATTCTTTGTGCAAGGCTGATGTTTCATCTTATCTTTGTGTCTCCTCAGCTGTGTTCTTTTTAGGATTTAAGTGTATTACAGACACAGCGTGGTCCCATAATAGCCCAGCCAGCTGTGTTTTCATTGGTATTTTTGCAGACAGATCAATAGCTTGCCCAGAAGTGCTGTGCCAAAGCTAAGACTGAAACTGAATTTCATGGCTGATGCCATGTTCTCTTAGAAAGTACTTTGGTTCAAATCCTAAACCCTAAAAATAAAGTTTGCTGTGCTGTCTGCCTCCTTGGATCATCATCCTTATTCAGTACACGCAGTAACTCCTACATCCACCTTGTTGCAAGGATCTGTTTTATTACATCTCTTCCTCATTTGGTCCTTTCAGGCAGGGTCCCAGGTGCCGTCCTTCCGCCCCTACCTCTTGGCTCTGCTGACCCACCAGTCCAGCTGGACCACGCTGCACCAGTGCATCAGGCTTCTGCTTGGCAGAAACAGGGAGCAAAGGTGGGTCTTGTTTTTCAGGCCTAGCAAAGGGCTTTGAGTTGGGCCACTCGTTATGTCTGAGAGAGAACAAGAGCTGCCACGTTCCACGGTGAGCCTGCCAGGAGATGTAACTCAGCCAAAAACAGGCTTTGTGAGAAAGATGCTGATTTCAATCCTGTTGATTTCTGTACCTTGATGTGAATATTACCTGCTGTTTGATGGAAGCAGCACATAAAGATTTGGCTGTGTTCTAAACAGGAAGTGCTAATCGTGAGTAATCCATCTTGCATTGCCCTTGTTGATAATCTTTATGAACACAGGGTTTGCAAGATGACTTGGATAGTGAACTGAGGGCTGTCTCTGTACCCAGGCAGGCTCTGCTGGATCTTTTGGTTGTACTGAACTCCACTGTCAGTCTTTTTCTAACCCCTTCCTGACATCAGGCTCCGAGTTCTGATCTCTAGAGCAGCCCTGGTTCTCAGTTTCTATACACAGCTCTCAAATAATGAAGAGGCACTACAGTAGTATTGTGCTCAAACTTGTTACACTTAGGGACCAGGAAGTGCTGACACCTAATAAGAGCAATATTTCTAAAGCTGGTAGTATTTCAGTTTGCTCTTTATTTTGTTGTTGGTTTCTTGCTCAAAATTACACGAATTTCTGCAATCCAAGATAACAGCTGTGATAGAACATTCCATACACTGGGACAGTAGGGTTACTGGTCTGATTGTAGCAACTGTCTGTGTTGGTAACCGACTCCTGGCCTTGTGGTACAAGGCTCCATGTAGCCCCCACACTTGCTGAATGCTGTTTGATCTCCTCCCTACCCTGTGCTGTGCTTATTGCAACAAACATTTAGTCATAATCTGGGAACAGAACCAAACCCTTTCTCGGGACTTAATGGATCCTATTTTTACATTTGCAGATGTTTCTTTCTTCACAGCACTCATCATGTTTAGTGATGCTTCCCTGTGTTTGTGTGCTTCCCCAGGACTGTGTTGACTCTAATTGCAAATCTGTCTTCTTTTGTCTTCTGGCAGGTTTGACCCAACTGCATCCTTGGATTTCTTGTGGGCCTGTATTCACATTCCTCGGATCTGGCAGGGAAGGGACCAGAGAACTCCTCAGGTATTGGTTCAGTTCTTCCAAGATTCCTCTCTAGATGGAGCGAGAGGCAATGTTTTCACAGTGCCTGATCTTCCCATGGCCAAGAGGTGGCTGGATTGATTCAGGTGCAGCGTGCCAAGTTTGCTGCCTGTACCTCAGCTGGTTACTTAGCTGCTCTGCTATGTTACATATTACAGTGGCAGTTTGGAGTCCAAAAAGCTGATAGGAACACACAAACTTTGCCCACTTGGCATTTCCCCTGCAGCAATTGCCACAATAACTGTTAAAGGCACAAGGCTAGAGTGGTGAGCAAGCTAAAACCCAGCGTGGGTTTTATTCCCATTTTACATAGAAAAGGAGGTTGTATCTCTTGTCCACAGAATTGCTTTGTTATGGTGATTGAACTATGATTTTTGACCCATCACACATGCTGAGATGGAAGTAAATTAATTCAGAAAGTAGAGGAGGGGTAAAACTGCTTCATTTGGGGCTGTGGTGCTTTCAGAGCTTGAGATACAGGGTAGTTCTTAAGTCTAGTTAAGTCTAGAGGTGTTCCATTCCAGCTGGCTAAAGTGTGTCTGGAAGGAACTGAGAGTCTTGGAATTTGTTGTGGAATCATTTGGGGTGTTTTCTTGTGTTACAGAAGCGCCGTGAGGAATTTGTGCTCCACCTGAAGGCATCAGAATTGATCAGCATGGTGGAGCTGATCCTGGCTGAAGCAGAGACCAGGTACCAGAACACTGACGAGGCCTCCTGCACACTCATCCAGTCTCGGCTGCCTTTGTTGCTCAGTTGTTCTCACGGGGACCTTGAGAACATCAAAAAAGTAACGGAGTATCTGACCGGCTGCATCCAGCAGTGGGGAAGCAGGTGAGGCTGCAAATGGGGAGCACTGGCTGCTGCAATTGTAGTTCTTGGGCATGGGCAGTCAGGTAATGATGAGACTTGCCAGCATGTCTTCACTAAGAATATCATGTTCCAGAGCCCCTACTAAAAGTGCATGCTATCCTCCCAGAGATTTGGAGGAATAATAGGTCATTTTAAGGGGTCCTTGGACCAGGAAGGTGACTTCAAAAGTGAAGTTTAAGGGTCCTTTTGCTTTTAGGTCTTCAGAATGAAGTGCTTGCCACGCTTTTTTTTCCACTTTCTTTCTTTAAGGCAGTGCTATTTTTAATTACTAGTTCCTAAAGTGGGATTTTTTGTCTACTCATCCCTTGAGTCACTGTCCATAATACTTCCTGCTTCTGACTGTTAGGATTGCTCTCAAAGATGAATGGAGACCAGATTGTTTCCTAACAGCTATTTTAGTGCTGTGGAAAGAACAGGAAGATGATGTTTTTGTGGCAGTGAAAGGAACTGACCTAATTCCAACCTCGCTTATGGTGATTCTGAGTAGTCTCAGTTGCTATTGCATTGGCCTGCGTCCCAGTACAGACTATGCCAGGGATCTACAGGGATTTCAGGTGTGTAGAGAACATGTTGGCTAGTCTGAGTAGTTGTGGTTTAGACTGTCTTCCAGTTGGGATGGGGATGACCATTAGTACCACTTGCAGGGCCTCCTCACTGGAGATGTAAGCAGAGCTTTTTTTGTCCTGTGCTGCTTTGTAACTGCAGTCTTCTAACTCCAAAGGCCTAACTGGGATAATAATGGATCCCTATAGACTGTGGATGGATCTCTGTAGAAAGTGAATGCTGTGAGTAGTTCAAAAGAAGCAAATACTTAAAAACACTGTTGAGATTAGCGGTGGCTGCCCTTTTTACAGGGTCTGTTTGCCATGTGCAGGAAGGCTGTTGTTAATCTGAGGGGTCTGGGATGTTTGCTGGTTGAACTAACATAGTAACCAGTGGCTGACCTCTCCCTTTTTCCTTTAGCTCTGTGGGAAAATGTTGCCAGGACCTTCTGCTGCAGATATACCTGCAGCTACCTGAGCTCCTTGTGCCTATGCCTGAGATGCTTCTTACCAGTGAAGGAGCCAGAGACAGCAGCACTTGCAAGGTAAAGTTAGAGGCATGGGAAAGCCCCTTTCCAGTTGTGTATGCAGAACAGATGCTACCTTGATGCCCAGTTTAGAAGGTGGGGATGGGCAAAAGCTTCCTGGGTGACTTTGGTTTCTTTACTTTGCTCTTCTGTTACCCCTTCCCTGCCTGCACTCTGAGGAGCAGAGAGTTTTGGTGTGGTTTATTTTGCAGTGTCCTTCTACAAAATAGTATAAGCTCCACAAGTTTCTTTGTGCCAAAGGCTTCTGTAAAACACAAGTGTGCAGATGTCTGATCCTGCTTTGATGTCTGTGGGGACTGTGGGCTTCAGATCCTGTGCCAGCTGGAACACTGCATTTTCTCATAGATTCTACCTGAAAATAATTTCTGTTAACCCCCCTCTGTAGCTGGAAAGAAATTGGGAAACACTGCTGAAGAGCCACAGGCTGGATTGTAATTTAAACTTCTTACTCATTATTTGTCTTCTAGCTCGATGCCCTGGTTCACAGATTCATTAACCTCCTCGCAGACACCAGTGACTCCAAGTCATCTGAAAGCCGCGTGTGGGATGCCAATATGGCCTGCAGGAAGCTGGCTGTAGCTCATCCCATCCTCCTCCTTAGGTACCTCTCTCCCCTTTCTCCCTCTGTGTGGCTGGGGTTCATTGCAAAGCATCCACCCTTGTCCTGGAAGGGGAACAAACTTGCAGCAATCATGATGATGGTGAGAGAATTTACCTTCAGGTAGAGGTCAAGAGAAAGGGCAGCAAAGTCTTATTTCTTACAATGAGGCAGCACCTCTTTTGGTTCCATGTCTGTTGGGAAATAATCGTCTTGGAATTGGTAGAGAACAGAATATGGATGGGAAATGGGGCTTGCTGAGCCTGTAGATACAGAGATCAGGTCCAGAACCCTGAGGGAGGATAAGGGATGCTTCCTTCCAGCAACTGTGATGTAGCAACGTGTAACTGTTTCTGGGCAGAGGCTAGATCTGGATTTTCTTGTTTGGTGTTCCAGGCACTTGCCAATGATTGCAGCACTGCTGCATGGCCGCGTTCACCTCAATTTCCAGGAGTTCAGGCAGCAGAACCACTTGACCTTCTTCATCCACGTCCTGGGGATCCTGGAGTTGCTCCAGCCGCAGGTCTTCCAGAACGAGCACCAGGCGGCACTCTGGGATTGTCTCCTGTCCTTCATCCGTCTGCTGCTGGTAGGAAAATCCCTGCATCCTTCTGTGTGCCAGCATCTGGCCACTAGATGGGGAAGCTCGTGTAACACAGGGCCAGCCCAGCTCTCCCGTTTGAAGGAAAGACCTTCATATGCCTAAGAACAAAAAAGTGAATTAAGTGCCTTGGAGAGCTTGAAGAGGAGGCAGGAGATCAAGAAACAGCTCCCTGGTACCCAGAGGTGCAGAACGGGGCAGTGCATTGCTGCATTTTTTTTGTTAACTCTCATCTTGTTGATCCTTTCCCAGAACTACCGAAAATCCTCGCGGCACCTGGCTGCCTTCATCAGCAAGTTTGTGCAGTTTATCCACAAGTACATCACGTGCAATGCCCAGGCAGCTGTCTCCTTCCTGCAGAAGCACTCAGATCCACTCCAGTGAGTTTCCTTATGCTGGTTAACCCATGCACAGTCAGACTGCCAGGAGCTAATCAGACAGGAGACAGCAGGAGGATGTGACAAAATAGCTGTTAATATGGCACTTTTTCACCCTTAGCTCCCCTAATTCTCTGTTGAGATGAGCAGCATATCCCTTTTTTATAGGTGAAAAATGAACCCAAGAAGTCAGATAGTGATTCTATCTTATGTAATGGCTGAAATGTCCTATTGAGGTGTTATAATGCCCTGCAACCTTTTCCAGAGGGGCAGCTGGAGGGACTTTCCCTGGAGTGATGGCTGCAGGGTCCCACTTGCAGATATATGGGGAAAATGCATTTGAGTTCCAGTTATGATGAAAGGAAAAACCTTTTTTTCTGCTTCTGAGAAATTGGTTTAGTGTACACATCTGTGCTGTTACTTGTCCTCGTGTCATTGCTATTGAAAGCCAAACATGCCACCTCTCTCCCTCAGTGACCTGTCATCAGACAACAGTGACCTAGCAATGCTGAAGTCCCTCCTGGCTGGGCTGAGTCTGCCTAGTAAGAGTGGCACCTTGGACAGGGGCTCTGATGAAGAGAAAGATGGTGAGTCTGTGTGGGGGAAGAGTTATTCCAGCTGGTGAACCTGCAGTATGTTTTGGAGCTAAGTCCTTACAATGGGCTGTGCACTGTGCTCATTCTTCTTGTAACAGCTCAGTGAAAGGGTGTATACACTGGAGAATGGCACTTGTATGCTCAGCAACTGGGATGGGTTAATTTATTTTCCTGCCAGTGGTATTGTTATTGGAGCAGAAGAACAGCCCTTAACAAGGGTGAGTTTTCTCATTGTGGATTTTGCTTTTCTCAGCCACGCTTAAAGATTGACCAGTTTCTGGAACTCTAAGGGTACATCCACTCCTCCACTGTTTACAACTTGCATGGGAAAATTATTCAGCATTGAAAGAGCTTGTGAAGCTTCTTTCTCAGTGTCAGCTGAAGGGAGGTACCAGGAGGGGCAGTGAGGTTAGAGGCAGTGTGAGAGGCAGGAGTTGTATTACAGCATTGCTGGTTGGCTCATACACCACTGCACTGGTAGGGAATACTGGACAGCCCACAGACTGTCAGGAATGACCTGCTCTCTCTCTCTCCCCCAGATGAAGCAGCAGCTGGCTCTCTCCCTCTTGTCAGTGTGTCTCTCTTCACTCCTCTCACACCAGCTGAGATGGCTCCCTATATGAAGAGGCTCTCCAGAGGCCAAACAGTGGAGGGTAAGTGAGGACCTGCAGAGCTGTGCAAGACACAGGCAAATGTAGACATTTTCCAACCCTGTTACTTACATGTCAGCTACAGGCTGGTTGGTGATTCTGTGACAGAGGCTTCCTATGATGCTGTTAACTCTTCAACTGCCTCTGCTTTGGGGCTCTTCAAGGATCTTTTAAGTGTTTTGGGAGATGGTACGAGTAATTCAGGGAGTGCTGCAATTCATGCCAAGCCAGATCTGGAGTGCTGAAGGAAATGCCATGTTTTTAAGGATAAAAAAATACCAAACTGATGAGAAGCAAGATTTTGTTAGGAATCCCCTTCATGGAAGAAAATCATGTTAACCTGGCATATAGGAACAATAATCTTCTCCAAAGGTTTTCTGAAATTACAAGTGTCCAGTGTTCAAACATAAATTGTGTTATTGGGGTGACAGTTTTCCTTCCAAGGAAGAATAGGAAGAAAAAGTCCTGCCTGGACACTGTTTTTAAAGGACTCTGAGACTCTGTGAAGACCTTTCAGTTGCAGAAGAGGGTGTTCTGGAATGGAAACCTCAAGCCCCACTCCACTCTTTCCTCTGCCTATGGCATGAAGTGCTGGTCACCTCTGCCTGGGCAGGTTGGGATGTGCTGATCTGGCACATCTCTGTTCTCTTTTTTGAAGAACTGCTTAATTGCACTAACTCTGTGTGCGGGTGGGAAAACTTGACTGCCTGAGAGATTGGATTTTTAGGGGAAAAGGAAAAGATCCTTTGCTGGATCAGTGAATTTCGGTCACCCTTTCAACCTGTGTCTTCCCCCAGACATCCTGGAGGTGCTGACAGACATCGATGAAATGTCCAGACGGAGGCCAGAAATTCTCTCCTTTTTTGCTGTGAGTGTTGGTGTCTCAAACTACCTCTGGAAGGAGGAGGTTCTTTTCACCAGGGTCCATGTTGCATAGACAGCTTAAGCACTACCTTTCCTCTGCTTTTTGGGTGGTTGTTGCAGAATCTTAGGAGAAATGTATCTTCAGTTAGGTCTTCTGAGAGCAGGCAGTATTTCCCTCCATTGCACATTGGGTCTGCCATCATCCACTTTATGTCAGAGGAAGAATTACTGCTCTGTTTTCTTCCCAGTATTGGGGCAAGTGGGAAACAGAACAGCCCTGTTGAAAAAACTGGAACCTAGGGAAAGCTCAGCTGTCCCACATGGAGTAAGATTACAGAAGGGTACTTCAAAGTACTCAAAACCAGGATAATCCTTCTTACAAAGAGGGATTTCTGGGGTCAGCCAGTACCTGCTGGATTTGTGTTGGGCTGGATTGGTGTGGAGGGGTAGTATTGCCAGTCTGAGAAGTTTGTGCTCCCTGGAAGGCCTTGTGATCCAGATTTGTCCACTTTTCAGACAAACCTGCAGAAGCTGATGAGTTCCTCAGAGGATTCCTGCCGAAACCTGGCCTTTAGCCTGGCTCTGCGCTCCATTCAGAACAACCCCAGGTGAGGACCCCTGGAACTTAGGCTGTCCTGACTGGTGATCTGGACTTGTACTGACACTGTCATGTTTTACCCCCAGCATTGCTGCAGATTTCCTTCCCACCTACATGTACTGCCTTGGCAGCCGAGACTTCGAGGTGGTGCAGACAGCGCTGAGGAACCTGCCCGAATACACCCTCCTTTGCCAAGGTAAGGTCAGATGTGCCGCCTTTGGGGCATGGTTGGCCTCACAAGGGTCAAAGCTGGGATCCTGTACTGGGAACAGCGTCCCTGGGAAGTTGCCAAGGGTCAGTGTTGCCTAGACCAGGCCATCAAACAGACGCCTATGCCAATGGTAGCTTTGGTCTGAGCATCACAGGGACATAGAGACAAGGGAGGCTTCCTTGGAGCAGATTTACTCCCTTACAAATTTTCTCTGATTCCTCATGTGATCACACACCCACAGAGCTGTCAGAAGGTGGATTGTGTCATGTTCTTGTGGAAGGAGAGAATTCCTTGTGCAGCTTCAAATGTTCACCCTAGTGTTTGTTGGCGGGTTGCTCTTGCTGTGCAGTCTCATTCTGTCTGTCCCTTCCACAGAGCATGCAGCAGTGTTGCTGCACAGGGCCTTCCTGGTGGGTATGTACGGCCAGATCGACACCAGCTCTCAGATTTCAGAGGCCTTGAAGATTCTGCACATGGAGGCCACGATATGAAGATGTGGTTCTGGGAGTTCCACTTCCAGAGGAGTTAATTTAATGGACTCATCAGCTGCATTAAAGCCCTGTAAGAAGACAGTGTATTGGAACCCATGTGCTGGAGGATCAAAGAGAAGATGTGGCCGGCCAGACTGTGCTGGAAAAGGAGAGCATGCTGCCTGAAGATCAGAAAAGGGCAAGAATCAATCTGCCTGGCTAAGGTGCCATTATTGTGGGAGAAAAATATCCTGAACTTTGTGCCAAACAGGGACCACTTCCTTCATGGGGTCTTGGAGCAGTGGCTGTCAGTTTGTTGTCTGGGTTTTCTTGACTCTCCAAGAAGGCAGAGCTGCTGGGAGAGCAGAAGGGAGTGATGGCCCTTGCATCTGAAGTGTCTGCACCCTCTGTGTTAGAGGGAACATGCAGATCTGTGCAAGGGGGGAGACCACTTTGGTTTCTGGGGATGGGTGTTTGAGTATTTTTTTATTTTATAATTAAAATTCTCTTTGTTTCCATTGTGCCTTTTTCTGCTCTCTTGGGTGTAGCTTGACATCCCTCTCTCCCTGTTGTTCAGCCTTGTTTTTCTAGACAGAGGATCTCTGGAAGACTTGTCTCCATGGCCAAGAGCTAACAGAGCTGTCTTGGCCTTCTGTAGGATATGCAGGAAATGGAGGAGGTTTGGAGGGGTCGGTGGGGTATCATGGATGAGATTGGTCAGCAGCAACTGCTCACAGGACAACTTTCAAGAGGTTCTTTGGAAAACTTGTTTAGAAACAAATAAACTTCTTGGTACATCTGCAAACATCCCAGCAGCTGGCCACTGTCACAGTGGAGTCTGAACAAACAGCTGGGTTTCCTCTTTGGGATCTACCAGTTCCTCCCTGTGACTCTTCTGACCGCTCCTGTCTGGTCCTTGACTGCTGATAAGGGTGATGGCTTATTTGCCAGCTGTCATTTGAGGACAGAAAAGGAGGCATCTTCCTTCCTGCTGCTCCAGAGGAGTTACTGCTCTGTGTGTTTGTTCTCCAGCCTCGCTTAATTCTCGTCACCAGTTCGTTCTCACGTCATTTGTCTCTATTCCTCTGGCACTCCACTTGTTAGCAGAGAAGCTCTGTAGTACTCTCATGACAAAGATCCTGGGGGAATTTTATAGGTAGCTGTAAATAAGTTTGTATCTCCTTGCTGGTGGCAGGGACAGTTGTGACCTCATGGGTGGCTGGGTGGAGAAATATTGTCTGCTCTTGCACATGAGGAATACCACAGCTGAGCACTTCCGTTGGTGTGTCAAAACATGAATGAATGTCCAGCTGGCTTTGCGGAGAGATGGAGAAGAAAAAGGGGAGATCTGAACCTCCCATCAACTGTAAGTAGCCCTGCCTTTAAACAGAGATTAGAGCCATCAGTTATGGATGCAACATGCTCTTTTCCTCAGCAGCATCTGCTTCGCATCCGGAGCCACTACTGTGGCAATTAGCCACATATAAATTATGTGTAGGAACAGCTGAAGGAGATCAAGTCAGTGGAATGGGTTTCCTGAGGGGCTCAGTGACAGCAGGATTAACGCCTGTCCAAGGGGAGCCAGTAATCTCACTGGGAACCCTCTACCTTAGTCCCTTATCAGACATCATTAAGACACTGCTCAGTTTGTCAGAGCAGGGAGGTAGTTGGTGCTGCTGTGGGCCTAAAGCAGCTGGGAACTTGTAGGACTGGCTGAAAAAAGGGCTTTTCACAGGACTTCGAATCAAGGAGCAAGGAAAGTATCTCAAGACTGTTACTGCACAGAGACAGGGAGTCAAATGCAGTGGTGGTGCTTTGGGGAAGATCCTCCCTGCAACTGGGGCTTTCCAAAAATGCTACTTCAGGGCTGCAGCTGGAAATATTTACAGGCAAAACCAAACAGCAAGGACCCAAATTCAACTGTGTTTGTTTGGCAGTGCCTGTGGTGAGCAGACCTGCTCTGGGATGGCTGTTTCAGAAGAGCAGGGCATGCTTGGATGTTGGCAGAACAATTTCACAAGCCCTCGGACCAGGACGCGAGGTTTTGCAGAGCAGTGTGGAAAGAGAGATGTGTTTGTGAAGGTGGAAGGATCTCTTTAGCAGGACCAGCAATCATCTTTTGGGAGACCAGTAAACAAATTCAGAGGGAGAGAACATGGGTGGAATTTACTCTGCAGAGCTAAACCTTCCCATAGATCTCCCAGTACAAAAAGCGTCATCTACGATTTGTTGATCTCTCTGCCTTTTTGCTGTACTGAAGGTTCCCACGATGCATTTGCTCTGCTGCCACCCTCTGCTTTGACCCAGTGGAGCTAAGCAGGTTGCCCTGGCTTGAAGCACGTCACCAAAACCAGATCAGGGCTGTCAGGGGGTGCCTGGCTGTGCAAAGACAGCTGAGGGCAGGAGCCCATTGCTGCTGTTGGGGAAGGCAGCCGTGACAGCTCTGAAATGGTTGGTGACAGCGGCACTGATGGCCTGACACTCGCCCGCCTTTTAATCTGCGCACTGTACCTTTCATCTCTGCCTGGCTGAGCACCTTCTCTCCTCCCATCCTGGCTGAGCTGACAGTGTCACCCTTCATGGGTCTGCTGGGCTCCTCCTGGGGGCTGGGACCGTCTCCTCTGTCTTGAGCTGGTGCCTTGCTCAGAAGAGGAGTGGTGAGGAGGTTTGCAGGGTCTTTCCTGGCCAAGCCTGGGGACCCCCATGGCTCACCCAGTGCAAGTCACTGCTCCCATCTGCCTTGCAGGCAGCACATCCCAAAATGGTGCAAAAGCCCTGCTTAGACACTTTTCTGCCATGATATCCTGTAGTCAAGAAGCTTCCTTAGCAGAACTGGGCTGCCAGAGCTGTTGTCTGGGGTTGGGGAATGTGCTTAACACTGGCTCATGGGGAGGCTTCTTGTCTGCTCAGATACACTGGGAATCCCATTCCAGCTGCAGGGGAGGCATGAAGTGAAGGGAAAAGTGGCCACAGGTTTGTTCTCCATCCTATGGCTGCACCCAGCTCAGGGCAAGGCTGGCACAACCCTTGTGCATCAGCTGGCCCTGCTTGGGTACCTGCGTGGCTGGCACTGGGTAGAGGTGGTACAGGGCTGGGGGGTGAAGGGAGCCCAAGAGGAGCTGGGCAGCCCTGAAGAAGCTGAGGGAGTCCTTTTAAAATCAGACCTCTATAATAACATACCTGCCTGTCCTGTGTAGGTGGTGGTGTCGTGCCTCTGGCATTACCCTGTTTGCATGAACAGCATCTCTAACACAAGAAGATAGTGGGCAAAAAATATCAAGACCCCCAGCAACAATTAAAAAATTCATTAAGCTACAACAGGCTAGTCATTGCTGGGTAATTATTAAGCTGTGAGAATTGTTAATTGTCTTATTAGCATTAAACAATTATGCAAATAACGAAAGACATACCGTAAGAGTAATAACATTACCTCCCTTTCTCTCTCCCTGTTTTGTGTTGTTTTTTTTTTAAACAAATAATGAGATTCAAAATCTAAAGTGATGCTTACAGTTTTACTGGGAATGTCTTTGGAGAGGAGTGAGACCTCTAAGGGCACTCAGCACATGGTGAAGGGAACACCCCAAACCACATCTATCACGAGTTGTCTCACAGAGCTTGTAGTGCCCCCCTCACCAGGCAGCAACACAAGGACAAGCTGGTGCTGATGGCTTTGGAGGACACCAGTGGCTGCTAGGCCAGGACTGGAGAGAGTCCAAATTTTGTACTATCACAGACATTCTATGGGAGTTCCTGTTCTCCCCCAAATAAATCACATAGTGCTTCAGGTTCAGTCTGGGTGAAAACAAGGCAATTTTTACTTTGTCAGATCAATTCAGTGCAAAAGTGGAAAGTTCTGGCCTTTAGAGTTACTCTGTCTCGAGGATTTTATTGCTATTAAGTTAGTAACCTGAGGTAAGAGCAAGCTTCTTTTCCAGATGAGGTTCCAGCTGGATTTCAGGTAAGCTGAACGATGAGCAAGTGTCTTCGTGTTCATGTGAAACAAGACCTCATTTACCCCCACCACCAGGAAAAGGAAGCTCACTTATTCATGTCCACAACGGGCCTGGAAAAGGCAAAGTGCTTTTTTGCTTCAGCACATTCACACTGTTAATGACTAACAAATTTTATTGGGTTTACAGGTCTTAAACTCTGCTCCACTGGTAAGACATAGATTTCAAAGTGCCCAAGCCAGCTGCTGCTCTGAGGTGGGTCCTGTTCCCGTGGTGATATCTTGATAAACACGGGGTCACCTCACTCAGTCTCATGCTCCAAACAAGTTTTGATCAGCATAACAGCTTTGCTTTCTCTTTCTGATAAGAACAGGTGACATTTGCAGCTCTCAGAGGACAGAGGGAGCTCTCTGCCACGGCAGTGCAAAGATTGGGGATCACCACCACCTGTTTCTCCTTCCTTGGAACAGAAGGGGAGATCACCTTCTGAAATAAACACCTTCCCAATACTATTGGAGAGCTGCTTTTAGCTCCCTGGGACTGGTGACCCACCTAGTTGCTGTTTATGGCCTTTTCATTTTTCCTCTCACCTGGTGAGTGGGATGCAGGATGTGATCAGTCTCTCATCCTTGTTGCCTGGAAATAACTTTCTGAGCCTGTTCCTCACCTCACTGTTTCAGGGGACAGGAAAGCCAGCAAATCATCTGGCTGGCAGGCAGGAGGGACTTTTTTCTGTTTTGATGTGGCATTGTGTTATACTCGAGTGACAGACAGGACACACTTTGCTCTGATGCTCACTGGTTTTTTTCCTTTGAGGTTTTAGGATAAAGGATTTACCATTTATGAGCTTCTCAGGGGCATGTGTTGCAGAGAGCTTTACCAAAGTGCCTTTTTCTGTAACTTCACGTTTCACTTTCATCTTCTTTCAGTGGAAATTCTTGTTCAGACTTGACTTTCCTAATAACTTTTTCTCTGCTACTTTTGCAGGTCAAACTAGTCAGGCTCAGAGGAGAGGTGGGTTATCATGCAGAAGCATTTCTGTGTGAGTAGCTGTGAAATTGTTGGGGCTTTCTTTTCCCTGTTTTGGGCTTTTCTGTCTCTGTGGAGTCAGCCTGGCTGCCTTCTGGGAAGAGAGAGCTGATGAGGCATGTTACTGATGAGATGCATACTTTTTCCTTCTTGTTTTGAATCCCTCAATTTAATACAAGCCATTGGCACGGGAATGTATGAGAGCTCTTGGCTACAACACACACTTCCTATTGTTGGGAGTGAACCGCCCTGCACACAGCCTGAGGCAGAATTAGGAAGTAGCTCAGTTTGATCAGCTGATTTCTCACAATAGTTAAAAGATGTGATTTTTCTATGATGTTATTCTCTCTTATGAAAAAAAAAAAAAAGCCTCACTTGATTTTCAGCTTCATGAAGCCTCAGCATTGTCTGATACAAGGAACTGACCCTTCCTGTCTTCCAGTCCTCAAGCTAACAAATGTTGGTTGTTTATCTTTGGGCTTTAGGGTGGTCCTAGTCACATATTTTAGTTTTTTTCTCTACTAATAGTAAAGTCCATG